TATTCAACCAAGACCTAGCGCGTATATGCTACATCATACTCAGATTCAAGGAAGACTCCCCAGCATCTCCATGCAGTTCCAGTATTTTCTGGACCGGCAGAAGATTCCGGTCACGACGTTGTTGTTATTGTTTCCGGCATCCGTGCCGGAAAGCAATAACACCAACCCCCATCCCCCAGTATTCAACCAAGACCTAGGGAAGAACAAAGCGTGGAGTATATGCTACATCATACATCATACACAGTTTCAAGAAGATCCCCCAGCATCTCCATGCAGTTCATTTTCCAGTATTTTACGGACCGGAAGAAGATTCCGGTCACGACGTTGTTGTTGTTATTTCCAGCATTCGTGACGGAAAGCAACAACACCCACCCCAGTTACTCCAGCTGATTTGCCTCAGCTGGATCCACCATCCCCAGTTCCMATGGACCGGACGCCTCTATGCTTTCCGGTCTTGATTGTTGTTGTTTCCGACATTCGTGTCGGAATGCAATAACACCAACCCCATCCCCCAGTATTCAACCAAGACCTACTGATGCAGACCAAACCTGGAGTATATGCTACATCATACTCAGTTTTAAGAAGATTCCTCAGCATCTCCATGCAGTTCCAGTATCAGTTCCAGTATTTTACGGACCGGAGGAAGATTCCGGTCACGACATTGTTTTTGTTGTTTCCGACATTCGTGCCGGAATGCAATAACACCAACCCCAGTTTCTCCAGCTGAGTGCTTTGCCTCAGCTGGATTCATCCCCAGTTCTCAAGGACTGGAAGCCCCACCAGTGCTTCCAGTCACGATGGTTGTTGTTCCTGTCCTTTGTGGTAGACAGGACCAGCAACACCCCCAAGTGACCCCGTGACTAGCAGTGACAGAAGAATTGATTTATTTATTCCAGTGTCTTCTTCAAGAAGATATTCAAACAGCTGCTCCTTTGGGTGGGACCAGCTGTAACGTTGCAGTGGTGACAGAAGTACAATGTTTCCTCTTTTTCTTTTTTTTTTTGGCTTTTCTTTTTTTTGATTTTTTCTTTTTGACTCAATGTGTCCTCGCACATTGGGGCACGACTGGCCTTAATTGGCTTGCCAGTGTGCTTGACACCCATTTCCTTGATCACTATGCATGGGAACTTGCCTATAGGTTGGGACTTGAGACCTCCCACCGTATGGGCTTGGCAGTGCTCCTTTGAAATGGTAATGGCATGGTTCTCATCCATCCAAACTGTGAACCAACATCTCCTTGATCACTGCGTTGGGTAACTTGCCTACGGGTTGGGGATTGTGGCCCCCCATCCTACGGGCTTGGCAGTGTGACCCTATTGTTTTATGTCCTCTGAGTTCAGTGTGGGCCTCAGTTGGCCTATCAGTGTGCATGGAACTTGGTCGCGTCTCCACAAAACCTCCTCGGAGGGAGGCGCC